TTCAAAGGGGGCAGTGTAGCAGAGAGCTGAAGAGTGACCACCGGTATAAAGCTTTAATTTTGCAAGATGAATAAATTCTGGGGATTGTGCCTATAATTAACAATACTGTATAGTACACTCACAAATATGTTAGGAGGGTAGATCTCGTACTAAGTGTTCTTGCCACAATCAAGAAATACAATATAATACAATGCAATGCAATACAGAATGATGTAATGGTGTGCAGTCTGAAGCCAGGCTGCTCACATTTACATTATGGCTCCACTCCCTCTGTGCCTTGGACTTTGGGCAAAAGCTCACCTTTCTTCTCTATAAAATGGGCTGATTGTATCCATCACAGAGTCGTGACCTCTCAGTGAGTCAGAGGCAGAATAATGTGGTTGTAAAAAGAGGAAGAGTCTGGCACCAGACTGCATGGGCTAGAATCCTGCCTGACACTTACTAATTTATTTTCACTTTTCCGCCCATTTCCGTGTTTACAAAAAAGAGAGAGAGATTGTATTATTAACAAATTCCTAGGGTGTTTATACGAATTATGTGCATTAATGCAGGAAAAGAGCTTAACAGAGTGCCAAGCATACAGCAAGCTCTCAGTCGGCCTGAGCTCTGATGATGAGATGCCCAGGGGGCTTGCGAATTTCAACCGAATTTGGTGAAGAAGATTAACACTAGAACACGCCCTGCTCTCATGCCCTTGAAGGCTAGCGGATGAGAAGGGCCAGGGCGTAAGTAAGGATAAAAATAGGGCAGGGTATGCTGAGAATTTTAACACACAAAAAAGCTCTGTGGCAAATTGAGGAAAATGATATGAGTGTCAAAGAGAGATGACAATTCAAGAGCAGGGTATGAAAGGACAGCTAACCTGAGCCATAAGCGGAACGTGGAGAATTTACACCTTCTCACTTGATTGGCTAAATTCTAGGCAACTTATAACTGACCCGACTGCAAAGAGGTGGCTGAGCACCTTTGACGTTATTGTCTCTGACTGTGGGACCAAGTGTCCAAAGCCACCCTGAGCTACGAGCTAGGACTTGAAGAAACAGAAATGCTTCCCCTCTCTCTGCAATAGCCCGCCCTGCCTCAGTCCTCTGGGACCCCCTATGCTGGGCGGCAGAATGTTTACCACAGTTCACTTCCCCATTTCAGCAGATCCCCAAGTAGACCAGAGAGCCCTGCCTGCTCTGTTTGTGCAGGCATGGGGAAGTATTTCTAACCACTTCCCTATGGAGCAGGGTAGCATTCCTGCTGCCTGAAGCCAAATAACTCTTCCTCGAAAAAGGTAAACATAGATTGGAGAGAGGCTCTACCGTGGGTAGTTCTAATAAAATACAAGCCCTGTTTCTCAGCCTTTGGAGTTTATTAAACAGTCAGAGAACTTGGAAATCCATAAGCTGAGTTGCGGGGCAACTATTTGGATTTGTGACCCTGGAAGGTTGTAGCAAGGGTGGTTAGCCTGGAGTAGGGCGGAGAGCGAAGCCTGCGGTGTGTGGCTAATCGTGCTCTGCCAACCGCCCCACGTCAGGCAAGTAAGTCTC